ATCAAAAATAGGATTTTAGAGCTCAAAAATAACATTTTCAGACAAATTTTCGGATCAGAAATTCGGGGGATCGATCCAGCCCTCTGGATCGATCCATACTATGAAAAATCACTCCCAGGGGATCGATCCAAGCCCCTGGATCGATCCAGACAGTGGTTTTTCAGCCACTGTTCATCTTCTTCTTCATTCGGGTCCAATTTCGGAAATACGGTTTTTAGTTATCGAACTTCAACGAAACTATATAGAGATGTTCTCCAAGGTTCATAGATCATTTTGGCATCATTAATTCATACGTTTAACATCAATTTCATGGTTTATGATTCTTGGTTCTTCAAGCATGTCAAACACAAAACTCAACCAAACGACCGTTTATGAACGTAGAAACGATCTATACGAACATTCTAGTCACTAGATATATCTACGGGCTTACCTCGAAGCTTATCGAAGGTTTTGGGAATTTTCCGGCGAAACTTCCAGCGAGGATTGTAGCTTGCTCCGGCGACTTCACATCAAATTGACAGCACAACTTCGTTCTTCACACTCACAGCTTTCTCTCAGAGTTTATTTGAAGGAAAATGGTGAAGAAATGGTGATGTTTGGAGGGTTTATATAAGAAGGAGGAAGGGGAAGAAGCCATGGGAGATGACCTCCCTAACACTGTTTTGGCGTCTCAGTGGAGGGGGCTGCGGCTCCGACAGATTTTATACGTAAGTCCCTGTTTGGACTAATTTTGTCCCAGTCGGGGAACACTTTTTGGACCAACTTTCTCCGAATTGAAATCCGTTTGCACCGTTGTGATCGTATAATTAAACTCTATCAAACGATATAATTTTCATATTTATTTGTAATACTTTTTCCGACATCATATTTTTAGGTGGTTGACTTTGACACAGTCAAAATTGATTTAATTGACCTTTACTCAAAAAGGTTCTTACATTTCATTCATATTATTTATTCTCATGATTTATTTCAATAAATCATTTCAATGTTCATATCATAAATAAATTTCTTAATTTATCCTTGATTTGGGTATGTACTCAGGTTCCCAATCAAGGTCACACACTAAGTCAACATATTGGATTAATCTCTATGAGATTTATCCGGATCATGATATTGGATATCAAAACATATTTTATTTTGGCCCAAGGCCCAACAACAATTTATTTTTAATCAAAACAAATTTGATTAATTAATTAATAATTCATTAATAATTCTAGGGTATGTTTTGGGGCGTTACATTTCTTCCCCCCTTAAAGGAATTTCGTCCTCGAAATTCTTTTAAGGCTCAACGTTCAAAATTTTGTAGTGATCATATTTAATCATGACCATGACATGTTTATTTGGTTAAACGATAATTTCGTCATTATCCATACATATACGTATTCTCAAACTGTCAATGTTATCAGACTTGTTCTTTCTTCAAGAGATTAATAATTTTAGATTAAGGAAGGTATCCAACGATCCTTTTTGCAGGTTCCCGTTCAGATTCAACATCCATAACCAAGAGTCCTTTGTAGGGTATAACATCATATTCTAGAGCATACTTGACATATTTGCACATCACTTCGTTCATTCACGATTCTCAATTGTACAATGTCGATTAACAATATTCTTTCTTCGATCGAAAGTCCTTTAGTAGCCTTTGCAGTTTCAAGTCCGCGATAGATGTAGTGGAGCATTTGAAGGTTATATAATTCATACGTCATAGCGTAACTTTCTCAAGTTACTTAAGTCATCTTCATCTCGTTCACGTAGTTCAACAATAATTTCGTAAGTACATCAATAGCTTTTAGTGGTCCAAGATTCTCAAGATATGGAATTTGTCATCATTTACGAGGAAGTACTATCGATTGATCATCGATTTACATCAGAATATTTCTTCATTCACTTCATGGTAGCTCTCATTATCGTTAATAAGTATTTGTATTCATAGGTGACGACGTTCGAGTAGCGTTTCATGTACGTCTTGTCGTATTCAACCTTCTTCATCGATTTTGGAATATATCTAGATACGTTCATGATAATGACGGGTTCGATGGAACACTATGGTTGATCACATTTCGAGGGAAGAAGAGAATATTTTCAGTATGTGATTCAATTCACGAATTCATAACCAACTCTTATACCAACATCGTATATAGGTTCGGAATCTTCACTTGAATGATTCAGCCTGTTTTTGTGACGTCATTTCTTCTCTGGTTGTCGCACATACATTCCCTTTCTAGGGTCATGATAGAGTTTATTTGGTCAAAGAGATCATCGGTAATATCCTTCATAGATAACGCAATCGCATCAACCGTTTTGTAGCTCACAAAGAAAGGTTTGACATAATGTTCATGTCAGGGTACACTCATTATTGTGATCGAGTCACGTAGTTCACAAAGTATAGTTTTCGAAGATCAGTATCAAAAAAAACATCTTGGGGATTACATTGTGAGTTAAGACAAATTTTTCATGGTTCAATATCTTGATACCAGTAATGGAATTCAATCTTTTCAAGATTGGTCAAGTGGGATGTTTCAAGAGTGTGATCAACACAATAAGTTTGAGTATTTCAAGGTATGAATCAGAAGATACAAAGATAACGTTTGTGAATTATCGTTACTAATCGTAGTTTTTCATCCCTCAATGTTTCACTCTTTGGAAGCTACTCAAGGAGTCATTGTCTTAGGGAAATAGCCATTTTGACTTTTCGTCTCGGATTTAAACGTGTTTCAGGATAACGAATCCAATTGTTCAAGAGTCTCAATGTGTAATATCATCAGCAGACTATAATATTAGCGAGTACGTTCTTGTCTGTAGATATATTGAATACATTTTACTGTACGTATTTTGGCTGGTGACAATTACCTTTCCACTAGTGGTCAGGTTTCTGAGGCTATATATATATTATGATTATAGAAAGAGTATCTCACATTCTCACATTATGGAAGGAACTTCGCGAACACTTCCTTACACTATAAGATTCATTGGTCTTCTTGGCAGTCACTCTCTTGGTATAAATCCAAAGTTTATGGCTACTGCGGTAGATTTAGGAAGGGAATTGATAAGGCGAAAGATTAAACTTGCTTATGGAGGAGGCAACGTTGGCCTACAAGGAGCTGTTGCTTCAACAGTCTTTACCAATGGAGGTCTCGTTAGAGGTTTCATTCCTGGGTACATAGCAACACGACGGGTCTACGGACCTACATATGGCGTAGAGCACACAGTTTCCAGCAATTACTACAAATATTTTGAGATGAATCATGCTGTGGAAGCTTTCATCGTTCTTCCCGGAGGAGTTGACACTATGGAAGGTTTGTTCACCTTGATCTCGTGGGCTTCTGAAGGGTTACACAATAGACCCATTGGTCTCTTGAACATTGACGGTTATTTCAATAACCTAATCAAATTTCTAGACGATGCAGTGAGGCAGAACTT